CCTGTTTATTGGTAACATTCTGCGGTAGCAGTAGGCAATTTCCATTGCGCGTGGTTCTTTAATTTGAGGAAATTGGTACTGAAAAGTCCTTGGAAGTTCCTTGAATTTGATGTTGACCAAGGTGTGGGAACCCTGCACACAGTTAAAAATGAGAAAAAGTTAGAAATATTTTAAAAACATGACATTAACAAAAGAGTGTTTATTAAACATACACATTATTTTTCTCTACAGGACTCTGGAGTTCCTCATGAGGCACCTCACCCGCCTGGCTGCCTTCAGCTCAGTCACTAACATGCACACAAAAAACCTCGCTATCGTCTGGGCTCCGAACCTCCTCAGGTGACCGGCACTAATCTAGCGCCGACAGGAATGCACGGTTTCTTTCTGGATTTTTCTTTTTGGTGGCAGGGAACTGGGTTGCGTCTCGACGGTTCAAGGCATGAAGTGTGTCGGGCTGTTCTCTGTTTCAGGTCCAGGCAGATCGAGTCGGCCTGCTTCAGTGGCACAGCGGCGTTCATGGAGGTGCGTATCCAGTCGGTTGTGGTGGAATTCATTCTCAACAATACGGAGTCCCTCTTCAGYCCAAAACTCAGTGCTGTTTTAAGAGAAAACARTGGTAGGTCATTTTAATGCAGGGTTTTTAAGAGAAAACAGCATGGCAGACTCTGTATCCTAACATACTGTATTCTGCTTTAGGTAACAACACCTTGTCCAGACCAAAGTCCCTGATGGTTTGCTCCCCATCCACAAAGCTGTTATCTTTAGAGGAGGCACAGGCTCGCACTCAGGCACAGCTTGGATCGCCAGCTACCACCCCCTGCCTCACCCACAGCGACTACATCGAGGTCGGGGAGGGGCCCGAAGCGCTCCTCGGCAAATTCCATACAGTCATTGAGCTCCCCATGGAGAGGTAGGTCTGTTTACTGTCACAACTTTTCACACGGGGTGAAGGGTGAACTGTAGGAAGGACCTAAACACTGGCAGGAGGGAACTGAATGATGCACTTTAAAACTAAGAGTACAGAAGAACTGGTGAAACAGAAGGATCCACGGAAGAACTCAAAGTCAAAGAATGAGCAAAACCAATAAGAGCGTAAACACAGAGACAGGTGAATAATGAGTGGAAACAGGCAGATTACAGATAAAAACCAGGTGAGAGGAAGCTGGAAGCATGAACAGTTAARAAATCTAGAGGCTAAAATGAATGATACTTTGATTCTTTATCGACCCCATGAAGGAAAATTACAGAGACGTGTTAAATTTAACAATCAGAATCATCAAATCTACACAGTTAATTTAAAACACAACTGTCCTTCATATTTGTTTACCTTTACAAACTAAAGCACTTCAACAGCAACAGAAGATATATATATATATATATACAGTATATTGACATGGAATATTTATGACAATAGTTTGTATTAAGAAACAGTATTTGAATATTGTAAATAGATATTTCCATTAGTGTTTACAATAATACATAATTAGATTAATAAAATTTGATCACAATTGTTTTGTGTGTATATAGTTCACATTCTGGAAATAAGCCAACCAAGCAAGMAAAATATCTAAAAAAGAAAAATAGCATATCAGCATATCCTGCATGTTGTATAATAATGATTTTCTTTTGTTTAATTTTTTAATGACTGTTATCCATTGAACTTAAGAATAAGAAAAAAAGTGAAAATAATCAAAACTTAGTGCTCTTTTCTTAGCTTTCCCCCCCTTTTTTATCCTTTTATGTTAATTGAAAGTTTATTGACAATATACTGATTCGACAATATGACCACAGCATGTAGCTGGAATGCGTCCTGTTTTCTGCCCTTATTAAAAACATGGTACTTTTTTTTGAGCACTGGTTATCCCATTTTTATGATTCTTCAGAACCTGGCACCCATTTACTCTTTTCCCTTTTTTGTAAGGAAATTTGAGTTGTGCGCACTAGAAGTTTTTTTCTTAAAATACTGATTTAAACCATTATTTGCTTATTTATGTTGAATTTAATGTTATTTTTGAAAATGGGGGCAGATATTATAAATTTTTTTCTTCTTCTGCTACCTTTCATTTCATTCTATTTCATTTTATTATTTTTTCTTTTTGTTTTACGATTTTTGAATGCATTTTGTTTGTTTTAAATGAAGTGAAATGAATAAACTAAACTAAAAATTAAAAACTTTCTGCATGTAAGGACTTGTGTTTTATTAAAACATTTATTTTTTTCTGTGCTGCAGCTGCAACAAGAGGCCTCCTGTTAGGTCTAAGAAGTCTCCCGTGGGGAACTGGTTGTCCTTTTTCCACCTGGGCAAGTCCCACTCTGTGTCCAAACGTAAACTGAAGCGACACCCGAGCGAACCCAACGAGATAAAGAGCATAGCACTGCCAGGTAAAGCTCGCTGCTGCTGTTAACACAGCTAGAAAACATCCTGCTTCTCTGACTCTACTTATTATGCTTGAACGGGTCAGTTTATTTTGACTTAATGTGATTCATTAAAGATAATATTTGCTCAAACATTYGCAGGTGGTCGAGGAGATGGCGGCACATTGCGGTCCACCAAAAGTGAAGAATCTCTTACGTCTTTGCAAAATTTAGAAGGTACTTTAAATGTCAATGAGATTCATTCCAATTCAAATAAACTATTTTTGGTTTGATTTGTGTTTTTTTGGAGGACTAAAGACTTATCCATTTTCCACCCCAGGAAAGCCTCCAAGTTATCGACCCCTCAGACCTCGTTCAACCAGTGAAGCTGTTTCTGGAATCAACAATGACGAACAYGTCAGGAGAAAAGATGACCACAGAACTCACCCCGGGACAGAAAGTAATAATGATCTGGATAAAGTTTGCGTTTCCCCACTTCAATCGGAGGACGATCTCGACCTTTTCCCGCCAGCTGCAGGCATTTCGACKTTGGACTTTGACCCCATGTCTTTTCAGTGCAGCCCAGCATCAGCAACCCCTGCCCTTCAACGCAGCAGAGATGGAAGCAAGTGGAAAAGGAGTGTAGGCTGTTCCAGTGAATCAGAACCTATCTCCCCTCCCAACAACATCATCTGCTCATACTCTCCAGATGCCAGCCCAGTACTCTGTAAAAATGGGAAAAAGGTTACCTCCAAGCAGCTTTCTCCCAAACTGAGAAAGAAATCCTTTAAAACGCTGGCAGATGTTCAAACTGCATCTGTTTCCCTGCCCCCCGTGTCGTCTTTCCCCCCTCAAGTGTGCGAGGCTCCAGTGGCAGATGGAAATGAGCCAAGAGCAACGGCCTTTCAGCGCTGCAGTCCGCCCAGCACAGCGAGTCAGGCACCAGCCGTGACGGACCGCACTCAGTCGGCACAGAACCTGCCAGATCCAGGTCAGTGCCACTTCTCCGTAACATCACACAGTATCCTCTGTACCCTAAATAGTTAGTATGTAAATATTAATGCACTCTGTAGTTTCTTATAAAAGCTTCTGTGTTTTGTCCCATCATGTCTTACCATAGCTTTGTTTGTCTTGTCATACTGTAGCGTTGTTTGTCTTATCCCTCCCCAGGAACAGATAGACTTATGAGTTCAGTCTCTGTTCTCCCTCCTCACCCTTCCTCGATGAGCGCCGCACGCAAGTTGGCTTTGGCGCTGGCTGAAACTGCCCAGAAGGCCAGCAGTGCCTCCCAGCGAAGGAGCAACACCCCGCTGCACGTTTTCCAGAGACAGGAAGCATCTCACACCTACGACAGACTGCCAAGACCCTCTGCTCTGGATCTCCAAGCGCACCCCCAGGAGTACTCCGCAGAGACTCGCTGCTGTTCTCATCCTGTTCGTTTCTTACCTTCGCGTCTGTGCTCAGAGGTCAYTGATGGTCAGGAGAGTGTGTGCAATTTTACCCCTAATGTCAGCCCACTTGGCTCAGGAAGCTTAGACGAAGGCAGTGCAGAAGAGAGGGACGACCCGGGAGGCATTAATCTAGAAGAACACACTTATCAGAGTGTAGGAGTTTCGACTCCCGCTCAGCCTGTCTGCTTGGTTAAAAACCCTTCGACCTCTCCTGTGTATGCCAACACAGACTCTGTAGATGTTTATAATTTCCGCTCTGTCCTATCAGAATCTCTGATGCCTGCATCCGTTGAGGAGTTTTTTCCAYGTCCGTCGCACGCCTCTTCAGTCCATCACTACAGCCCAGAAGAAGACAGACCACTCGGTGTGGATGAGAACGTCTACAACTATCACCATCAGCGTCCTCATAATCGCCCGACTCATACAGGACGAACGTCTACGCCTCACTGCCCTCGGCCAAGTGCGCTGCCACCTCAACTCTCTGGGGYTAAAGGCTTGTACAGGCAGTCTTCTGAGGGCCATTACAGCTCTTTAGGTTTAAGGCAACCTTTATCACCTCAATACAGACGTTACCATAAAAATGAGCACCTTACGGGTGGGTTYCACCGGCAACAAGGGCAATGGCTGAGGTCCGAGGACAGAGTGGTTGGGCACCCAGCAATCCGGAGGGCTCGCTCTTTCCACGCTCCTCAGATAAGTCGCTATGAGTTGGCAAACACGGAAGTTCTCCCAGCTGACACCATGTTTTATGTTGAACCAAGGACAGACCAGGAGGAGTGCTATCGAAGGTTGATTCAGACTGGCCTGAACCCCGTACGGCCACAGTTTGAGAACACTCGTGCTGAGTACCAATGCAGCCCCTATTCTGATATGAATACTGTCGACGGCTCTCGTTATTTCATAGATCCTCGTCGACAAAGTGGTATTCAACACCACCAGACCTACGCCGTGCATTCCACAAGGGAAAGTGGACAATCAGACTACTATAACTATTCTCCTCAACGTRTCCCTCCTGGGAACAGAGAGCTTTACATTGAAAGCAGAGGCACTGTTGTTTACGAAGCTACAGATGCTGAAGTTTTTGAGAGAGTCATATATCAACCAATCAAGCAAGAGAGTACATCCAGAGTGAAAAACCCATACCCTTCTTTGTCTCCCTGCGACAGTCCGGTCTTACAAAGTGAAACTGGAAGCAGAGACATCGTACACATAAGAAGCAAGTCAGACCCCGGAAATGCCAACCTCCTCTCTACTGACAGGACAGAAGGCCAAACGGCCATAGTTACATCCCAAACCTCCCCAAGGACTCRACAAGTAGACCCCGAAGTCACCAGGCAGAGGTCTGGTTATACCTCTGGTGCAGAACTGAGACGGATTTCGATCAAAGAGAGCTCCTCGCAGCAGCTTCGCAAAGTCCCCTCACTTCCAGAGAGAGGTTGCCCCAAGTCCTTTGAGCACAATGAGAGTTGCCGTCCACGAGGTCACGACCAAGATCGATTAATGATGACCAATGCTGCCAACAGCTACTCTGGTGTCTGGAAACCCGGCGTCCTCAGGAGATCTGGCCGATCACAAAGCACCAGAGAACATCGCCAATATTATCATTATCACACCAAATCTCCCCTGGATCCCGAACATCTGGAATCGTTTTCGTCACGCCTCCAGAGACGAACTCAAAGCACTAAAGTCAAGCCCACACAGTACGACCACATGGAGGGGTATTACGCCGCACCTAGACCTAAATCTACAAGATCCAGTAAAGCTGCATCTGGATATTTACCTGGGCAGAGCTGCATGTCTCCCCGTGGACAGAGACTGCTCTCCAAGGTTCTGGGCCGTGAGGCGTTTTATCACACTGGTCTGAGATCAGAGGCTGGGGTCTTCGAATGATTCCAACCATTTGCTTTTTATCTGATTCCATGTTGGGGCCAAAGGAGAGCTGCACTTTATCCTCAGCTGCACCTACAAGACTGTTGTGCAGAAAGTGTTTTTGTTCTAACGTTCAAGAGCTGCTACAAGAAGTGTTTAACAAGGCTGCAGCTGGGGAGCAAACTGTTGGAACTCCTTTTCTTTCTTTTTTTGTTTTTTTTGTGGTTTCTGTAAAAAAAACTGAATGGGAGCAAAATGAATGACGATATTGTCTTAACTTTAAAGCTGTGGAAGAAACTATAAGAAGCATGCTTAAAAAACGACCGCTGACATGTTTTATTTAGTGTTTAGAGTACATGACAAGGGACAACAAGGTAAATTATTTGTTTATTAGTATCATTTTTAAAATGTATAAAACTACCATTTATTTTAAATGTATTATACTTCTATAAATCACATCAAATATGTGGCCAACGTACTGTACATTTTGTTTTCTAGTCTGCTCAGACTTCAACAAGCACTTTTGAAGATGAAACATGTTTTAACGTGGTGTACATGGAGACAAACATCGTATATTTTTTCTGTTAGAAACAAGCTTGCTCTGAGTTATTGTTAAATGCTAAAATAGCACTTTGGAGGGGTAAAAATGGAAGATAACTTCATGCATTCTAACTTTTCAGGGGCCATTTGCAAAGTTTTCTTTCTCACATATTGTTTACTGCAGTCTAAATGAGTGCTATGATTTCTGCTCAAATCAATGCTATAGTGGAGACAAATGCTAGACCTTAATGCAAATCAGCTCCTGCTGTTAGGTGAAAAAGTGTATTTTCTATACCATTGTAGTTTTGTCATATAATGAAAACTTCTTTGCTCTTTATAGAGAACTTTTAACAATGTGGTGTTTTACAGGAAACATGATGTTGTTTTATTCATAAAAGATGCTATTTCAATTTCAGACTTGTAGAAATGGACATTCCGGTAACACACGTTATACGAGTTATTTTCGTGACAATAAAAAAATAAAGATATATTATTAACGTAATGTTTTGTTGTGTGTTTATGCTACTTGTTTGGCTTTGTTTTGCGTTTCACAACTTCAGTGTCAGCAATCCAGAAGTAAAGCTTTAGTCGTTTTGGTTAAACGTTTAAACAACCACCATGTACGTTCTGATGATCTCGTCAGATCTCAGCACTCAGTGAATGTGTTAGAAAGGTCTCTCAGCTACAGCCACACCAAAATGTGATCAATGAACTCAACTGTAGCCATTTTTTGTGTTAACTTTTTTGATCAGCTTTGGTGGCCATCTTGATTTGGGTGACTATATGTTTATGAGCTGTAGATCTATTCGTACTTACTAAAGGTTTTACTGTATTCCATCCAGTAGCTGATAAGATGTTTTGCTAACAAACACGTGACTCCAGTAAGTATAAGGACTGTTGTAAACATGATATTCAAACAATGTCTTATCAGRCTAGAAGCATCAGGAGCAGATGAGACAAAGCTCAGCTTAGCAGACTTTAATAGTGCCTGTGAAAATGTAATAAAGTAAAGCAAAAAAATCTAAATATATAGAATAATATAAATATCTGACCAGATTTTTAGAATTTATACAAAAAATATGTTTTAATAACACTTTCAAACATTTTGACATCATAAAAGCTGAACATGTGCCAAATAAAATTCCTGGATTTCTTGGTCAGACAATTAAAACTAGAAGCGCTTGGAGAGTGCAAACCTCTGCCAAGACCAGTTTCCCCAATCCTGTAATAGAGTTACAAAGGGGCAAACCAACACTACAGTGCCACCTGCTGGACACTTTGAAACCCACGCCCTGTGAAAGCATCACAGCTTTGCAGATCTCAGATTGTTAAAAGAAAAAAAATTCCTGTATCTGCATCGTGATCCRGAACATCACCAAAATTTAAAGGTGTGTTACTTGAGCCAGTATCCACACGTGGTAAAAATGCCATGACAATCAGTCCACAAGTTTTTGAGTAATGTTGTCCACAGATAGAATGACAGAATGGCAGACGGTCAGACAGACGGACAGACATATACGACCGAAAACATTACCTCGCCATTGGTGGAGGTAAAAAAGGACAACAGCTGTATTGTATCTGAGGAAGACTGAATCTAGTTACTGTTAGTGGTGATTTGAATATTTCAAAGAATCAGTGAACTGAATAAGTGACGTAATTTGAATGGTGAATTTCTCAACATCCATTTCGTTTCACTTGATCTGGTGATTGATATTAGCAGATTGTTTTTCATAACTGAATAACTTTGATCCAGAACCTTTTAGATAAGTCTAACACTGCCTTATGTCTTTTGTGCCATGAACTATTACATTTGTTTTAATAAATATGGGATTTTGTTGTAATATTTGATTTGTGTTAAATTCAGTATTTGGGGATAATTCTTCTGTTTTTACTGTTTTATTTCACTCTTGTTTTCTTCTCACCCCTCACACCTAATCACCAATCAGCTTATCCCCACACCTGCCGTGGGTCTGATCATTCACTCCCTTAGTTTATACAGTTTTAAAGCTGCCTTGCTTCTTGGCCAGTCTCTTATTTTTTATTTAGGTGCAGGAGTTTTGCAAGTCTTTGGAGTTTTGTTCATGGACCACTCGCATCTGCTGCGTTTTAGTTAACAACGTTTTTAAATTATATCCTACATTTGGGTCCTTCCACCAGAGGCACACTGTTTTGTTGCCAACATAAAGGTGTGCAATAATATTAAAGTTTATGGGCAATGACTGACCTGTAAATGTTTTCCACAGTGATGTAAATTGTACACTGTATAGTGGTCATGTTCTTCCACCTCCCACTCTGTTTACCCACCTGTGTCATTGTCACAGAAATCAGAGAATCTGAAAACCAGAACGGCTTTCAGCWCATTTAGTGACGGTTTAATGATGAGAGGAGGCTACTGAAGTGTGATTGATTCTTTTCATTCACCACTGAAAATAGGAAACCTGTTCTGAGGAACGACTCCCACTATTGAATCATCAGAGAAATCTTTAGTTCTCTTTAGGCCAATTTTCTTTTCTGTTAGCCCAGATGTTGGAATTCTTTTAATTTAAGTTAAAGAAAATATCCAGAGTGTTTTAGCCTTGTCATCCATTACAGTAAAAGGTTTCAGTTTTGGAACCACTATTCTAAAATGACTTGCAGGTTCAGCTCTCTGCTGCTCACCAGGTGGCGCTGTAACACTGCAGAAAAATGCAAAGCTACATGTAAGGAGTAGGTTCATTTGCCTTCAAACATCCTCTATCCTTTCACTAAAAAAATGATTTTGATTTTTGTGATAATTATTGTAAAGTGCATCTGTGTACCTTTAAATTAGTAAAACCTAATTATTATTATTATTATTTGATAGATCCTATTAGATGAAGCATTCAGCAGTGACCTCAGSTGACAATGACACCCTCTAATAGTGGCTATGATGCCATTTCTCCAGCTGTAAGTTTAGAACCACAGAAAGGGTGTTCAATCACGGTTTAAAGAGAGTTAGGTGACTGGAGGATAATCGAAGGGAATCGGCGCATATTGTCCAAAGTGCCTGGGGAATTGTTGCTTTGTTAGAAATTATTAAAGTGCCCCCCCACCCCCTCCACCTCCGATCAAAACAGCCTTCCCATTCAAAGCAGACTGAAAGGCTTGGTCTGTGGCAAAAACCATTAAGAGAGCCCACGGACTCAAAGCGATGTCTTCTGGCAGCTCTGCATCACTCCTGGAGCAGCGAGCCATTGTTTATTCATTGCTGCATTGGCATTCAAAGTGCATCCTCACTGTTCTCTCTCATAACCAACAAGTTGCAATTTTTATGCATGTGAAGGTTGAAGGCAAATTATTTATGGGAGACTGGACCTAAGGAAAGCAAACGGCCTCTGGCAGAATGGTCTTCGTTGAGAGCAATCCTTTTCTACAGGCTATTGAATTCGTCGGATCGCGGCAAAATATGCATGTATTATTCAGCTATTCAGAGAAAGAATTGTTGCCCTGCTAGACAGCCTTCTGCTTTTTGGACATTGTGATGCATTTGAGACATGGCACCTTTCAGGATCAGGTTAAAGTCTTATTTTTCAGCAGGAGGCAAATAAAATAATAAAAAAGACCAAAAAAATAAAAAATAAAACCCTGATAGATTTTTACCCTCCATACAGTAATGGAAGTTTTAAATTAAGAAATAAATTACAGTGATGGTTTAAATGTTTTRAAGTGGGTTTTTCTGTAAACGTCATGGATGTTTAAAATCTTACCTGTTRAAAGTTGAAAAACATCAGCTGAGAGAAATAGTTTAACTTTGACAGGATCAGTGAGCTAATGGCAACTGCTGCTTAAAACTTTGTCTTTAACTCTTGGTGTTAAYCATATTTGTACGTTAGCAAAATGTCTTTTCACCACTAGAGACATTTTAATGAAACTTGCAAAAAACAATCATTTGATGGGAATTTACAAATGATGCAATGAGTCAACTCAACAGGACAGCTAACTGACATTAGCCAAATCAAAAATAGCTTTAACTTCATTGTGAAAGCAACTAAATTTTACAGACAACGAGCCTAAACTTGATGTGGTAGTAGATGAGAGTCATCCCTAACACATWCGAAGCACATCTCGCAATGTTCCACCGGAATGTGCAAAAATAAATAAATAAATAAATAAAATTAAAAACAGGATTTGCCAGAAACCGCTCCATCATTTAAGTTGATCTTTTGTCTAAAAGTCCAGCAGGTCATCAACTTTCCTTCAAGGAATGCTGGGTTTTTCATTTCCATGGATCTTTAYATTTCTTTGCGAGCACAAAAACTTGCAGCAACAGCTAGCTCTAGCACTTCTAGTGTAGCATAGGGCCCTTTCATTTGTAAAGTCATAACATTTCTTTTGGAATAAATATGTAGCAACAAACAGATTTATAAYATCTTGTTTTAAKCAATCCACTTTGGTTTWGGTCATTTGGTGTCAGCCTGTCTTTCTCCAAACTGAGSTAAGAGCTATCTACAGCAGGTAAGACACTATTTGTTCTGGTCTTAGATTTCTAGAAAATGCACAAAATTAGGTRAAATATTGAGCAAGTGAAGTTGYAGGGTAAYGTTCACCTGTAAGAAAGAATGATCCCACAGCATCTGGTGTTRTCCAGATGCAGAAGTGGGATGTGTGAGGCGTGTAGAGCCAAACGGCAGCAGGTGCAAGGTGAAAGGATTGTTACCTCTCCAGGGGCAGGGGCTCTGCAGTACAACAGTTGCCCTACACACACAAGCAGGAACGGCTCTTTAGAGCTGAACAAAATTGTGCATTATGACTCTTTAAATTCGAGAGGAACAATTTACAATCCTTAATGGTTCTGACTTTGACTGCAGTCTGTGGCTCTATTAGTACCACAGCACATGGCAGTAGCTGTGTTTCTCTGGTTCACAGCACTTTAGTGGCTCCATAAAGAACCATTTTTGGTTGTTCATTACAGTGTAATGTTCCATTACAAAACATTATTGGAACTTTATGAATGTAGACTTTCTCATTGTTTCTTTGATAGATCTTGACGGTGAGGTGCAGAGCATGTTTAAGTAGTAAAATGGAGCAAATGCAGCGTGCTATTCTGAAATCTGCCTTTTTAGAAAGTAGAACCATGAAGGGCTTTATTTTGGAATTCACATCTGTGTAAATATGGGCTTCTTTTTGTGATAATATACAAAATTATGTTTATGTTATCACTGCTTTAWATGTATGATGTTAAAGCTCTTTATGTCATTACCCCGTTTTCTTATCTACATTTAAATGAGGACAGAAAAGTGAAATCCATTCTWCTGTTCTTTGTGATGGGAAGAGAGGCTGCAGCTGTGTCTGTTGAAACGGTGACAGTCCAAATCTTATACTGGCTCTATGATCTTCACATGAGGAAAATATGTTAGTTTATACATTTTAGAAGTGTCCTGATTATCTTTAAAGTTTGATGGTTCAGAGGAGCTGCAGACCTCTTTGTCCTGAAACCACCAGAGTATTTTACATTTTGTAAACTTGTTTGTGAAATGTA